AATTGGAGAAATAGAATATGCAAATTTGCTATTCAAACAAGTTGAACATCCAAATAACTATTTATACAACTCAATAATCAGAGCTTATACACATAAACATAGATATATTTCATGTATCAATGTATATAAGCAGATGATGACATGTGCAATTTCTCCCGATGAATATACGTATCCATTCGTTATTAGATCATGTAGTGCAATTTTGCGTGTTGATGTAGGTGAACAGTTTCATGTTCATGTATGCAAATTTGGACTGTATTGTAGTAATGTGATAGCGAATTCGTTATTGGATATGTATGTTAAATGTGATCGAATGAGGGATGCACATATGGTGTTTGATGAAATGTCTGATAGAGATGTGATTTCGTGGAATAGTTTAATTTGTGGACATGTAAGGTTGCGACAAGTGAGGAAGGCGAGAGCATTGTTTGATGTAATGCCGGATAAGAGTATTGTTTCTTGGACTGCTATGATTTCAGGGTACACGAAAACGGGGTGTTATGGAGATGCTTTGGATGTTTTTAGGAGGATGCAAATGGTTGGTGTGAAACCGGATTGGATTAGTTTGGTTTCGGTTTTGCCTGCTTGTGCGCAACTTGGAGCGCTTGAGTTAGGGAAGTGGATTCATTTCTACGCGGACAAGTATGGGTATTTGAGGAAGACTTCTGTTTGTAATGCGTTGATGGAAATGTACGCGAAATGTGGAAGTGTAAACGAGGCTTGGCAGTTGTTTAATCAGATGTCTGAAAGAGACGTGATCTCCTGGAGTACGATGATTGGTGGCCTAGCGAATCATGGTAGAGCTCAAGAAGCGTTGAAGTTGTTTCATGAAATGCAGAGGTCTGCTGTTGAACCGAATGAGATCACGTTCGTTGGTCTTCTATGTGCTTGCGCGCATGCTGGTCTTTGTGATGACGGTTTGAGGTACTTTGACTCCATGAAAAATGATTACAACATAGAGCCCGGGATAGAGCATTACGGTTGTTTGGTTGATATTCTTGGGCGTACAGGACGTCTTGAACGAGCTCTTGCAATCATCAAGACCATGCCGGTTAAGCCCGACTCTGCAATTTGGGGTTCTCTGTTGAGTTCTTGCAGAACTCATCGCAATCTTGAAATAGCAGTTATTGCAATGGAACATCTGTTAGAGCTCGAACCTGAAGATACAGGGAACTACATTCTACTCGCTAACATTTATGCAGATCTCGGAAAGTGGGATGGTGTATCAAGGATGCGGAAGTTCATTAGAAGTAAAAGCATGAAGAAAACACCGGGCTGCAGTCTGATTGAGATAAACAGTTTGGTCCAAGAATTTCTATCAGGTGATAATTCGAAACCATTCTCAAAAGATATCCATGAGGTGCTAGAGCTATTAGCCTTACATCAAAGCAAGGAAAATGATCTAGTTGACACAACGCTCGAGTACTTAAGTCCATGAATATATCGAGGAGAAGTTGTCATTCTGAGTGCATCCGCTCTTTTCTTGTTCAAGTTTTTAGCACATTCGTTATGTGTGGAAGTTCCAGGAGGAGTAATTCAGATTTGTGGGATAAGCAAAGACGGGACGATGAACTAGAAAGCACATATGTGAGCCTGGAAGTCTAGGCCAGACACACAACAGAGTTCGATGCCTGAAATGAGATTCTACGAATACAAATTTCACTGATTTCGCAGGCATTGGTGACAAAGGTACATACTGCAATCTTTATGTGTAAACATAGGATTGAACCACTAGTATCCGTATGCAATCGCCAAGTAGTAAACAACTCATGATGTGATTTGCTTGTTGCCTTCAAAACAACGAGTAGGTCATTGTCGACATGTCTGCTTGCCCCTGTGAATGCATCATCAATCATCTCACCTATTGACCTATCAATGACAATATGTTGATCTTCTGGTTCTTACTTGTCTATGTTCTATCACTCTGCATGATTTCCGAGCCTCTGATCGATGTTATTCTTATAAAAAAAGGCGATGAGGGCATTTTCGGAAGTGAAATGAAGCTGTTGCCAGAGAAATATAAATCACCATAAGAGGAATCTATATATATGTTGCTGAAGCTTAATCCACAGAAGGTCACTCTAGACTGACTTAGATGCATCCAACATAAGTTCTGTTTTATTGTAAAACAAATTATTACTGTTGTTCCCGTTTATGTGATACTATTTCCGTTTGTCTTTTTTTTTAAAAAAATATTATACTTATAGATACTTATAATTAGTATTTTCTGTCATTGCGTATAACTTAAATTTTTATTTTATATTGAAATCCTAATATAAATCATTAACTAGAAGGAAAAAAGAAATCCTTTTCCTTCACTACAATAACTTCTTCAAAAAATCCTATTTTCCTTAAAAGAATTATTTTCTTTTTTTACCTTAATTAACTTATACGAAAATAAACCCTAATTATAAGCTCTTTCAATATATTTCTATACCACACTTCTCCAATAGCAGCAGATATTAGACATAATGTCAAAAAAGAAATCCACTAATGTTAATGTTCCATGTGATCTCTTAGTTTGCATTCTTACTAGACTTCCGATTAAATCTTTGTTACGTTTTCAATCTGTTTCTACGTCATGGAATGCTATAATCTCTACATATGAATTCAAGAAAACGATTCTCGACCAATCCAACGCGTTAGGACGTATAAAGTTATTGTCATCACAAGGATGTAATTGGGACAAATTCAAGTTTATAAACTTAGAATATCCCAACGTTACTATAGAGGGGCAAGAATTTCCACTGAAAGGATTCGAAAATGCTAATGTATTATGCTCATACGATGGATTGGTATTATTAAAAAACCCTAGAGCTTATAAGAAGTTTGTTTTATGGAATCCATCGACTAGACAATGCCAAGAGCTAGCATCATGTTCATACGTGAGGAAATATGTATTTCCTCGTGCATGTGGGTTGTGTTATGATTCTACCATCGATGATTACAAGGTTATATTGATTTATAACTCGTTTTATGTTGTTTGCTCGAACATGAATTACTGGAGGAAGCAAACAAATCTCCCTATATTAAATCAAGTTCTTCCTACTATAGAAGAAGAAACTAAATTTTGTTCATATGAATGGGCTGAAGGTGTTAATGTTAAGGGTTGTGTATATTGGTCTTTGCATCGAAAACTTCGTAAATTTGACTTGAACGTAAGTAGAAATTCTACTATTATATATTTTGACGTGAAATCAGATGAACTGAAGATACTTTCGAAACCAAATATCATACGTAGTAATGATGAGTGGTTTCGTTTGACTAATATGAAAGATTGTCTTAGTTTATATGGTGGCATGACAAGTGGTGACAGTTTTGACCTAGATATTTGGACCATGGATGTAGATGGTTGGAAATGGTTAATGAAACTTTGTAATGTACCAACTATATGTTGCAAACATTATTTTATCACACATACTAAGTTTTTGTGTTGCAAAGAGAATGGTGAGTTGATATTTGTTGGACCAGGGCATCAAAATATCTCCATTTATAATCCTAAACAACAACAATTTTTTGTTAAAAAAGAGTATTTATATTGTGATGCTACATGTTTGGATAGCTTATGTTTTCCTAAAATCAATGTCATGATGAACAAGAGGAAGAGGAAGTAGCTCACTCACTTCTTACTTTCGAGAAGAAATACAAATTTATCGAAAGGGATGACGATAGAGCGGCTGTGACTTCCACCTTAAGCTAAGCACCTAACCCGTGGGACGGGACCGACCTTCTCTTTTCTTTGTAATTGGACTTGCCCGAAAGAAAGGAAGAGGTAGGTTAAGTACTTATTCCTTATTAGGGTTTGTTTCTTCATGTCTTGTTTCGTTTAAGTTATAGTCATGTCATGTCCTATACTTTTTATTTACATATTTATTGTTTATGTTGTTATGGTTAAATACTTTCTTTTTGTCTTTTTTATGTGATTTTTTCAACACTTTTCTTATTTTTTGCATTTTTTAAAAAATTTATTAGTTCTACTTTTAATGTTGATCCATTTTGATTTTGAGGTTACTAATTTTAACTATTATGATTAATCATAGTGTAATATCAATGTGTGTGTATGTAAAATTTAAATTGGTCACTTATCAATTGGCATCTTAGTTTTCCAATTAGTATTGATTAAGTGATGAAATTAATTTAATAAAAGTCACTTAGTTTTCCAATTAGTATTGATTTGGTGGTGAAATTAATTTGATAAAAGTCATTTGATTTGATTCAATATTTAGAATTTATTTGGAACAAATGGCAATTTGTAACACCAAACGTCTTTAGTGACAATTTAACTTTAAAATGTTTATTTTATCAGTATAAAATAATTTATAACCACACAAATATTGAAAATTTGTCTTTCTTAAATTTTAAATTGAATTAAACTATATTATATTAATTAAAACAAAAAACTAATTTTTTTTGTATTTTAATGAATAATAAATATATTACAAAGTAGTCAATACACAAATAATATAATCTATCAAATTAAAGATCTACGAATCTAATTTTCAAGCCACTAAGTTTGCAGAAACTCAGAGTAAAACATTCGAACCGTTTTATCGGAGACTACCCAATATCTTCTAGAACTAAAATTCAAGCTATATAACTCTTATTTATTAGATATAAAAATAAAATGTCTCATATTTGCATGAATATAAGCGCTCACATAAGATGCTAAATAATTTTGTCTAATCAAATACCTATTCTCATATTTCAAATATTGAATTCTATTCAATAAATATATTTTAATAATAAGTTTAATAATATTGTACTAGCATATATACAAATTAAAAAACAGATAAAAATAATTAATATTGATTTAACTAAAAAAAATTAGAAAAAGTTTGTCAAGTAAAGTCTCCTCTATTTATATATTGGTCAACATAATGATATTATCATAATTACTGTCATTAAGAAAATTTCTAGTATTAAATATTTCTGTTACTACAAATTTAAAGTATAATCTCTTAAATATTTAGTATAAAAACTGATTGAACTGACTATTTTATTCACTTAAAAAATATTCATCAATGGAAAACTTTGGTGTCTATTCTATTTTTCTCATTACTTTCACTTATGGTATGTATACAATTATTATAATTTTATTTGCTTTTCAACTTCAACCATAATTATTTTCTCATTTCATGTGTCAAGTTGCTTTTGAATTGCACTTTAAAAAAAAAAACTTTTTTCTTCATTGAGTTTTTCCTTCTTGTGATTTTTGTATTCTTATACTAATTAAAAGAAAACGATCTATCGTATAAAAAAAACTAGAAAAGATCAAGATCTAAATTCTCGATCAATTGTTTTTGTGTTTCAGTGATATAGACAAAACTTAAATGATAGTCTAAAAAGAGATATGTATATACTAAATCAGCCGAGATGTTATTGAAATTATTTTAATTTTTTTAAAAATAATACTATTATAATTTCTTAATATTATAATTTTTATTTGCTTTTCTACTTGAACCATAATTATTTCTCATTTGTATCAAGTTGCTTTTTCATTGCACTAAAAAAAAAACTTTTTCTTCATTGAGTTTTTCCTTCTTGTGATTTTTGTATTCTTATACTAATTAAAGGTAAAACGATCGATCGTATAAAAAAATTATAGAAGATTAAAATTGAAATTCTCGATCCATTATTTTTGTATTTCAGTGCTATAGACAAAACTTAAATGATATTACTCTAAAAAGAGAAATGTACATAATAAATCAGTCGAAATGTCGTTGAACTTTTTTTTAAAAATAATTTTATTATATTTTCTTAATATTTTTTTTTAAAATTTTTGCAGCTACATTGATAATGACACAAATACCCTCAACAAATGGAGTTGTATGTGAAGAAGAACTTCAAGTTCCTTGTAAGGATGGCAATGTATTATATTGTGGCTCTATATGTTATGAAAAATATAGAGAAAATTATATGTCAACAGAGTGTGTGGAGAAATTTGCTGGTAACCCTATTTGTGTGTGTATTTACAAGAGTGAGTATGCTTGTCCACCAAACCAAAAAAAATATTAGAAATTATATTTTATTTGCATAAAAAAAATATTTATCTTTATCAGATTATATAATATATAAAGAGTTGTTGAGAAAACCTCTTTTTTTTTTCAGTATTTGAATTGCATTTATAAGTTATGATCCACACTTTATAGTTTTAGTTTTTTTATGTCTTATAGTACTTTTATCATTTGTGATTTCCTATCATGATTTGTGAAATATTAGTTTGAACAGATCCAAATATTGTGTAATAATAATAATGTATGTTCGATAATATAAATATTAACTCTCAGTTCAAGAAAAATATGGAATTTTGAATATTTGTTAAGGGGACTTGAAATATAAAAATATAGTTCTTAGGATTTAAAATTGCAATGTTAAGGTGAATTTTGAACTCAGTAAATCATTGAGCTGACGATCCTCTAAGTCTTATAACGAGAAGATTCAAAATTTTATATATACACATTTTAAAAAATGTATCTTATATATACAATATATCTTTTGCCGAGAGGAATCAAATATGTAACGATCAAAAAAACCCGAAAAAAAGGCCACAATCATCCAAACAAGCTGCAACTATATATAATATATAACTTATATTATAACAAGGAAACCATAACATAAAATTAAAATAGGAAGTTTACAAGTCCAAATATCTTAAAATTCTAAAACTTGGTGATGAGAATACAGTTTCGGCAAAACAAAAAACATCGTAAATACAACCTTTTTCTGGTAACTGTTGAATTTCCAAATATTTCCAACTATTTTTCCTAATATCATAAACATATAATACCGTAAAATTCCATTTCGATACGATAAATACTATCTCACCGTCACAAGAATTGCAAATTTCTTTACTAGTATAATTACCCAACTTGACTTCTCGAGTAAAGCGAATGATATGTCTCCTCCATCGAGAATTTCTTAAAATCCACAAATTCTCTTCACCAAACAACTTTAAATTGTTCACGACTCCTAACCTTCCCTTCACGTCTATCAGATTGTAATCCCCGAAATTATTAAAACCGAAATTCTTCCATAATTTGATAACTCTAAACTTTTCACCTTTAACATCGAATGCAACAATAGCCTTATTAATCTTGTAATCCAACATATAGATAACTCCGTTGACACAAACTCTTCGATTAAAAGAGGGGACAAAATCAATCATACTTTCAATCTCTCTCCATTCTTTGTCTATACTTAATGTGAGTACCCAACTTTTTGTGGGCCTACTACCTCTCTTAAATTCTTGTGTCATCAAAACTTTATATCTTTTTTCTTCGGGTTCATAACCTAATGAATAGTTATACGTTAGAGGGTGAATTGAGCTTCCACATCTTAGATTGGGAAGAAGTATTACTTCTCTTGTACTAGGATTCCAAATTCTAGGTGTCTCCACGTTATCTTTCCACATGCAAAATAAACCATTAGCATACATTACATAATCATAACGATTATTAGGGTTCCATTTATAGGTTTTTTCATCTTCGTTTCGCTTAATTGTGTAAAAACCTTCTATTTTTCGTAATAAGAATTTTGTTCCGCCATCACGAGTCATAGAACGACGATGATGAGTATCTACGAAGTCTGGTTCCAATATAAGAGAATAAATTTTTTTTGAAACGCACCTGAATTGCACCAACGACTTGACAGGAAGCCATGAGAATATTTCGAAAATTATTTCTTCGGGAAAAATAGTGTTTCTTGTGTTAGATTTCATCTCGTACGAGTAGAAGGCGGCTGAATTAGCAATAAACAACCCTGTCACAATTAAAATACCCTTAACCAATTTTATTTTTTTTAAAAATATGTTTTTAAACTATATCAAATAAAGAGGATATTAATTTACATAAATCAATTCTTTTTTATTTGGTAATTTAGGTATTATTATTTGGCATCGTTTGTCTACTCCTAGTATAACACATTAAAGGGAATTTTAAAATCCTTCTTATTTTCCATCTCTTATACTCTTATACTCCGTCTCTCCGTCTATTTTTACTTAAATTTATCTTTGACTTCGCATACACTGTAAAAACCAATAAATAAATCATTGATTTTACTATATCACTTTTATAATAATAAGTTATCTAAATATTGAAAAATAAATAATAATATTTAATCGTAGATCAAACTCAAACAATCATATATGTTGACATTCATTTATTTTATGTATCATTGGTGTTGATTAATGGTGGAGATATTTTCAGAAAACTACTAGTAAATATATATAATCATGTTAACTAACTTTTAATAAATGGTGTTGTTAAAATTCTTTGACAGACAGGAGTTTTCTATTTTCATTTGTTACTTTGTCATATAATTTGCAGCTCATATGCATAAGCAACATTATTCCTTTCATTTTATATACAGTAACCAAATATTTACAAGTAAAATCGTCCATGTACGTTTTCTCCGCCTGATTGTAACGATGCGATCTGAGAAATGTAGCAGAGGGCTCGGGGGCAGGGGAACGAGTGGACTTTAAGGGATCGTTTCGTTCTAAAAGGTTAACGTGTTACCAGAGTCTCCTCACGAGGAAGCTGAAGTGCTGAGGTCTGGTGGTGGTGAGCATTTTGCTTGAACAGCCAAACTCTTCACAACGTGTCGACATGGATCTCCAAATACACCATTGGAAATGCCAATGCTGCAACTAGTTCTTCCTATACAAGCCTGTAATATAGTGAAAAGTTTGATTAAGATACTCAGAGGTGAATCCAGAATTTGAAGCTACCTCAGATGAAAGCTATAATAATAATTGGGTTCATCGTCAAACAATATAGATATTTGATGGATTGCTTAATACATAAACATGGTCAGGGCAAAAACCACAGAGTTCACGTGATCCGCCCCTGAAGACAATCTGAGTGTTTGACAGATTGACATGATCACCTTCTGCATCAGACTCTATATCCAGACCCCATCCTACTCGATATCAAGGTTCATTTCTTTTTATGGTTTATTTTTACTCTGCTGTACAAATATAACAGTGAATTCGAAGTCAAGCAGTAAATATATTGCTCTATTAGAAAGGAACATCAAGATTTAACTCCCAATCAAAACAGTCAAGTTTTCATGCATTGTTTAGCCTGACATGTCTCTTGTAATTGAAACATCTGTACATCCACCTGGTATATAGCTATCACTAATTTAAAAAATCATCACGTGTTAATCAAACGAAGGAAACCCTATTCTCTTTGCAGTTCTTAATTATAAAGGTTGATCTACTTGTCAAACTAATTAAAAATCAATCATGAAGTAACTTAGTATCTGCAAGGGATACATTTATCTATTCTTGCAGTCAACATACTGTAACGAAGAGAGGTGAACATAGAAACGATTTTAAGAAATGAAAAAAGGAAACAAATGAACATACCTGAGATACAACAGACAAGGAATTTGCAGCATGGCATTTTCCTTGTGAGAACTTTTGACAGCTGCCATTCGGACTTCCATAGCTTGCAAATTCAATAGAAGAGATTGTATGTCCTTCGTCACACTGCAAGTGCATTTCTGGTGTTTTATCCATCAGAGACAACTTTCTGTCAAACTCCGAATGAGACCACTTATGTAGAGGTGGATAGTGCTTTTCCGATACTTGAGCACAAATGGTTTCAGTAGAACGCGTAGAAATGGAAATATCAAACGGAGTTTTATCTGTTTCTTCAAAGATAACTAGTACATTATTTAATGTCTTTAGCCATGATCTAGGTATATGGTACCTGGTCAAAAAAAAGTATCTTTATAAGCAACAGAATGTACCAGCTTAGATCCATTTCACTGCACCTACACAGGTGTAGCCTCTTACAATCATGAGCGCCAAATTCCCGAGAATGTAAATTATAATTTCAGCAAGTAAAAGAAGTTCATACCAGGCCTGAGTAATCTCTCCACAGTTTGTCCTACATTTATCAGAGTGGTAAGCACCACGATAATCACAAGTTCTTCCACATCCATTATTTGGTGCAACCAAAGTCCAATATCTTCCTACATGGTGGCCATTAACCCATGCCTGACCTTTTCCCATGCTACTAAAATCAAGAGCAACTGGATCTGTCCCGCCTGGGGCATCAAACTTTGTCTGCTCAACCAACGATACAAACCACTTAATATCACTCTAAAACTAACGAACAAAAATCGAAATTAAATGTAGCATAGAAAGCACATGTTCCAAGAAATTCTGCAGTAGCATAGGAACAAAGAAATGAAAAGGATTGTAGAGAATTCCTAATCTACAAGCTATTCGGAACCTATTCTCGAGAAGGAATTTTCCTTTTACCTTATAACATCTTATTCTACGATCTATGAATAAGAAATAGGAGTATCTAGCTATGGAGCAATCAATAGGCACAGAAGAAGTCAAACAGCGAATATTTCTTTGATCCCCTCTTCAATCAATGATTTTGCCTCCGTCATATAGGAAGTAAAGGATTCATATCTGGATTGAATCTTAGTACTCATTATATACATCTTGACTAATCCCAAAAAATGCTTAGTGGTAGTTGTTACACGCACTTACATTTGAACCGATGTTTATTGGAAGTCCTTTTATTCTGGCTATACATTTGTATCCATGTAAAGATTGGAAGAGTTTGAGAATCTTCAACGAACTACTAATTTTCTTTACAAGACAAATTATCACGTATTGCAACGAAATGGGCCCCAACAGAACACAGTGGATTCAAAGAAATTCATATAGCTGGCTCCAGTTAATTTGAAGCTGAGGCATGCATAGTCAATTGATTGGTTGAAGTGAGAATGAAAGGTCCTTGACCCATTGAAAATTTTCCATTTTGTACTCCGAGTTTCTCGTTACATGAAAGAAAACGGTCAAAAAAGTTCACATCACTCTTACTTGGTATGGAGAAATGAAAGGATGTCTTAGATAATAAAAGTCAAATCATAAGAGATTCTTAATATACAATGTAGCTGAAAACTTAAAATACTATCACAGAACTTGACCAAACAATACTGAACATTTCTTCTAGGAG